GCTCTTCTGCCCAGCACTGAGGGGCAGCACGGCCTCCGCTCTTCTGCCCAGCACTGAGGGGCAGCACGGCCTCAGCTCTTCTGCCCAGCACTGAGGGGCAGCACGGCCTCCAAAGGAGACTGGCCAGAGACACTTGTGGTTTCCTGGCTGGGCATCTGCGTGGATCTCAATGGCACCTACCGGGCTTTGAGGTGATAAATGAATCTTCGATACCAGAGCAGTGCTTGTTTCACTTGACCGGAGGAAACCACTCCGTCCCCCTGTGCCTCCTTGCCACTGCATGGGGGTTCAGTCTCCCGAGTGATCAGGGCATCAAAGAGCAAGAGGGCTAAGCCTTCTACGGAGTTTAGGAAGTTTTTGTTTGTTTTCTTTTCATTTTGGTGGAACTAAGTAAGAAATTATCAGAATATGATTGGGTCCTTAGTGTATTGCTAGAATTAGCATAATTTTTAATGGTTGCATTTTACATTAAAAAACAAAGAATTTCCACTTGGCTCACGGCTACAACTGGCACGTTCTCCAGAGCTGTGGTTCTTGCTGCAGGAGGGTGCTCTTTGGGAGGAGTGGGACCGGGACTGGGACTTATGTGTGATCTCCGACCAATGTTATTTATGCTGCAGCTTTTAAACCAAAGCAGCAGCAGCAGCAACAGCACGCAACACACACATACACATGCGCATGCGCACTAAGGCTCCTGAGAGGTGAACATGATTTCCCATGGATGTGAGTCTTGGATGAAATGTCCCAGACCCTGTCTAGATTCTAAGACACAGAATCTGCTTTCTGAGTCTGTCCCCTTATTTGGTAGATAAGGAACAGAAGGAGCACACGGTAGTTACAGAGTCAAGAGAGAACTAAGTTCCAGTACCTTTTCCTCCAATATTCCTGCCAAGGGCACAGCTGGTTTTTAAATTGCACTTATGAATCTTTTCTCATCGTTGAAAAAATGAACTGGGTCATATAAAGCAACTGGTACTATCACATCAAAGCAACCATTAACATCATTTAAAACCAGCTTCCAATGTCTTTAATCTTCAAGGTACACTGTGTTATAAATTTGACCTATTTCACTTGTAAAAAGCTTAGGAAACAAATACCAGAAAAAGAACCAGTGTTATTCCAGTTGATACAAAAAAATTAGAAAGGGAAAAACAAATTGTGACACAAGTAACATTTTAGCAAGAAAACATTACCAAGGCAGAACCTTAGTAAATAAAATAGTTCCGCATTTTCCTCATCCTGGGGAGCCCTGGTGCCATAGTAGGTTGTGCGTTGGTCTGGTAACCACAAGTTCAGCAGTTTGAAACCACCAGCTACTCTGTGGGAGGAAGAGGAGGCTTTCTATTCCTGTAAAGATTTACAGCTTAGAAACCCCGGGGGAGTTCTACTCTGTCCTGCGGGGTTGCTGTGAGTCTGAATGGGCTCGATGGTGGTAAGTTTGTTTTTTTAAGGTTCGTATCTTGTTTCTACTACCTTGAGGGAAGCTAGCCTTCTAATTGGCTGCCCTTGGTCTGGTTTGTATTGTCTTTTCTAGAGCAATCTTTCCAGCTCCTCAGAGGTTCCTAGTATAAGTGAGAAAGTTAGTTGAAGGTCAAACCTTGGACAAGACCTGCCTCAGGTCCTGTGTACTACCGTCTGAGGAGGGGGGTTCTTCAAACCAGGAGCTGGTGGACCTGAGGCTGATCCACCAGAGAATATTTAGGGGACTGACTCATTGGTGCTTCAGTCTGAAGGGGACTGTGGGCAAAGACGTGCCTTGTGAGGTTTAGATCTGCCCAGTGCAGATCTAAAACCTAAAACCTACTGCCAGCGAGTCAATTTCTACTCCTAGCAAGCCTACAGAGGGTTTCTGAGACTGCAAATCTTTATGGCACCATATAAGCTCATCCTTCTCCTGCAGAGCAGGGATGGGTTTGAACCATTAACCATATTGTTAGTAGTTCAGTGCTTATCTGACAGCACCACCGGGCATTTTTAGTGCTAAGATCCACGGATGCACATTCCCACCCATTTTTAGCCTGGAGAACTATTTAGCAAGGAAAAGAGCCAGTAAGAAGCCAAGTGACCAAAAGAAACCTGCTCAAGAGCAATCAATGAAGTGATCTGGTTGTACAATGGCTTCAGCAACTTAGGACTGAACGTATCTGCTTGCACCACGAAGCACAGAGCAGCCTCGGGGCCTGGGCAGTTTGAGTGTCTTAAGCTGGTAGACTTACCTCACTATGTGTTGGAATCAACTCAACACCAACAGACTTGGTTGGGTTTTTTGGATTAGGAATCCCTGAGTGGTACAAAGTCTAATTCACTCATCTTCCAACTGAAAGGCTGGAAGTTTGATGCCTAGAAACACTCCAGAGAAAATGCCTGGTGATCTACTTCAGAATAAAGAGCCATGGGGAACTTAGGACTCCTGGGGTAGCTCTGGGTCAGAGTTGATAGCAACTGGTTTATACAGCTGCTGAGCATCGCAAGTTGTCTGACGGGATTCAAAAAGTTCATGGACCAGAGGAAAATTGTATATTTCATCGTTGCTACACTGCACTCTGATTGGCTCCTCTCCTCCCCGCAGCCCTTCTGCAAGGGGATGTCCAATTTCCTCCGGATGGGCCCTGGGTCCCCACTCTGCATGCCCCCTCATTCACAATGCCATGATTTTTTTGTTGTTGTTGTCTTTGATGCCTGATACCTTCGACACCTTGTCATCTTACAGGCTGGTGTGCTTCTTCCATGTGGGCTTTGTTGTTTCTCAGTTAGATGGCCCCTTGTTTATCTTCCAGCCTGTGGGACCCCCCCTCCCCCCATCATGATCC